TCCAATGAACTTTATTTTATCATTCTGATCCATGGATCCCGCATAATTTTTCGTTTAGGCCCTTTTCCCAGCCTGTGCGTGGACTGGAGCTCGTCCAGGATCTTATCGCTACCACTGGGTCTTGGAAAATCGATTTGGTTCATCAACTTTTCTGCCCATTGATGTTATAAAAAAATAATATCTACTTCGTTGAGAGAAAAATTGGGTGAAAATCGATTAATTTGGCATTTTACGGGGAACGGAAGATACTCGGTGCAGAGTGGCTATCATCTTCTTAAGAGCTTATAGGGGATTTTTCGGCGTCCAGTTCAAATCCAAATACGACTTGGTGGAAAGCTCTTTGAAAATTACGCATTCCTCCTAAATTAAAGATTTTTGCTTGGAATGTATCATACTCAACCATCCCATCCAGTGAAAATCTCGCTCGAAGGAATATTGATTTGGATGGTCGGTGTTTGTTGTGCGGTTGTTGGGAAACGAATATTCATCTTTTCTTCGAATGTGATTGGGCAAGGAAGTCATGGAAGTACGCTAGATGGTGGAATGTTATCTCTAGTCTCCGAAAACGGGATTTTATCTCCCTAGCTTTGGCTATTTTTAATGGGGATTGTGGTGCTGATTTTAGGAATTTTGTTGTTACCCTGTGGCTTACTTGGCAGGAGCGTAATCGCCTCCATACAAATCTCAAGGCCAGAAGTCCGGAAAGGGTTAAGGATTTTTGGATATCTTGGTTAAAAGAGTTCGATAATGCTCAATTAGGGCGACTGAGCATCAGCTTCTTCGGATTAGTCCTCAGGTTCAGGTGTGAACATGGCCGATTACTTCACGAGATGGATCGATAAGATGATTCAGTTGAAGAATATGCCGGACGAAGATGAATTGATCCAGAAATTGATAGATGGCAGTTTGGAGAGGTACAGAGATCAGATAAAGTTTCATGATTTCAAAGTTTTGGCTGATGCTTTTTGACCTAAGCCTCAATTACACCTTCCTTCACTTCGCTTCGTTTGTTTCCTTGACGTCGCCAATTACATCTTGCCTCATCTAAGAAAGAGAAAGTCGGCACAACTCCGTGAAACTCGGGTCAAATAGCCAGTGGCCGTCACCCTACAGGGGTGAGCCTTTTTCAATGGATTCTAGTGTTTTTTCGAGAGGCTTTTCTTTGTCTTTGTTTGGTTTTATTTGTTTTTTGCAAAAAAAGAAAGACTTTTTTGGAAAAGTACTGCCACATTCTGGGTCGCTAAGCTAATATCCGGGTTCGGGCAAGCCCCTTTTCCCGAGGTCCAGTTCGTAACCAAGTGACTGAACTCCTTCCATCGAGGGAGGTTTGATGTAATTGACCTCTCTTCGCCACTCTTATCTTTCACTTTTGCCCGTCCTGTCCTGCTTGCTTCCCATTCTTCTTCACAACCGGCACTAAGCTCTGGTAATGCGTTTATGGTGCAAAGGCACTCTAAAGTCTCCTCCATTAATCAGGCATCTTGTTGGACCGGAAAATTAGGTTAAAAAGCTTAGTTAGCCACACTAACGCTCTGGCGCCCAAGCATCTCCACACATTGCCCATACATGGGTGTTGACTTTCATCGCCTTACGCCTAGTAACCCCGACAGAATCAAAGACTGGTGGCGTAAGCCTCTCCATCCTCTAAGGTTCCTCTTTACCGTCCTATTACTCTTCAACTAGAGGATTGGTTAAACCGATTGGACAGCTTTTATGAGCGAGTAAGGGAAGAAGAAAAGACACACCAACACAGTCAGTAGTGCTCATCTTGCTAAGGATCTTGACACTTTAGCGAGGAACGAACGAAGCGAAGTGAAGTCATAGAATGGGAAACAATGGAAATTTGCCCTTTCGAGATTTGATTCCGAGGTGGCAAGGTGGATACGTGTGCTAATGGTTGGACTCTTCTTAGCGATGCGGCGGTTCGCGAGTCCAAAATTGGTTTGGGTGGATGGTTTCGTGATAACGACGGCGTTTGTCAGGCACCCTTCGCTACTTGCATCGAGGGCTCATTTTCTCCTTTACTAGCAGAAGCACTAGCACTTCGACATGGCCTCCGTTTTGCTCTATACTCAGGCCTAAGGGTGAAGGCGGTGTTGACATACTCCTTTGAAGTAGTTGGCGGCATTGCGAACTCGGAGGATTTGGACCCTTTCTTTGAGGTGTTTACGGATATTAAAGGTCTTTTAACGCCTTTAAACTGCAGCTCATGTTGCCATGTTTCTCAGAAGGATAACGTGTGGCCCATAATATAACTTATTGGGCGTTCTCTACTCATTCTTCTTATTATTGGAAGGATTCTCTTCCTATTTTGTTATCTTCCATCTTTAATTAGTTGTATGCAGTTTTTAATAAAAAAAATAAACATAATTATAATTGTTTATTTTATAAATGCAATATAGAAGTCAAATTGAAGCTCATTCTCGTATTTGGTATATTATATATGAAATTGTTATCTGAAAGTTATTAATTTTTAATACATATATAATTTAAGTTAATCACTTGTTTTATACTTTAAAAGCTTTAACGTAGACAGATCCACATATATTACTCGGAACCACCACAAATTCACACATAAAATGATAAAATAAAGAAGCACAAAATTTGATACATAGAATTACAAAGTACTAGAAGTTAACACATACATTTAAAAAAATTTGCATTAATATATGGGGAGGAATTAGCATAGTTTCACACTCATTAATTACTTATACTTTATTTATTGTTCTTTTCTATGAAATGTATTATTTAAAACTTTATAATGTTTACAATTTTTTATTTGTAATATTCAATAAATAATCACAATTGTTTGTCTCTATACTTCAATATATCACCTGGGATTTGATTGATTCAAATTGATGTGCTTTTATTATGGAAAATGCCGAAAGGTGATAAGATTCCCTAACTTTATTATTATGTCATTATTCGATATATCACCTATTGAATTTGATCAATTATGCAATCATGAATTTCAGTTTGGCCCACATTTATGCCAAAATAGTGATAAAACATACATGTAAATTTCTACATCCTATTTGATTCTTTCCACACCTTTCAACCGGCCTGATCGCCCCAAAACGATGCCAAAAGTGTGTCGGAAAGATCTCCCGGCGTCAAATATTCAACGCTCAAATTAGTTTACGAAATTCAAAAGAGACTCCCTTGCCGTTGTCAAGAAAATAATGAGAAATGTTCTTAGGTATTTCACATATACTTGTCGAATATATATTTACACCTGATATTGGTATCAAATCAGTTGTTGGAGATCGTATAGTTTTGAGGCAGCTCGGTTGGTTAGATGTGCTTGGTAGCTCACTGAAAGCTCGGACAATTAAGATATCAGGCTATACTTTTAGGTCGAGTCACTTAAACTTGACGAGAGTGGGAGGACTAATAGACATGATATATCATACTAACTGTTGGAGCTCGTGTAGCTCAGTTAGTTGAACGCAAATGGGTAGCTCAATTAGAGCTCGAGAAGCACATGACCTTTGACAACTCGAAACCAGGTCGAATGAGATTGAGAACCTTGTCAGGTTGAGCTAAGAGTCATAGATATTCTAATAAATGTTTGACCTGGAACTAGAAGGACTAGGTGACGACCTCAAAGACAGTGCTACGCCCAATAAGTCTAGACTAGTTAGAAGGACTATGTGACGACCTCAAAGACAGTGCTACACCTAGTAAGGCTAGATTAGCCAGAGGATAGGTGATCGAGATACTTAGCTCGATCAAGCGAATGACGACCACATGAAGAAGCAGAATAATGTGAACACAAATGGATAAGAATAATAATGTTAACACGATTGGATAATACTAATACATGGGCAACAGGATCGGGCATATCGCGGACAACACGAATATTTGGGCAGCAAGATGAGACAGATATTAGACAACACGAATATTTGGGCAGCAAGATGAGACAGATATTAGACAACAAGGTAATAACGCTATATATAAGGGGGTGAGGTACACTCTGATCTATTATACACCACATTTCCAACCCCGAAAACTTACTTCAACGTCGGAGTTTCTACGTCCCGTCATTGTTTTGCAGATCATTCAAGTGGTTCAATGAGTGTTGTATCGGATCGAGTTTGTTATACTCACCAATACTCTTCACAAATTATATCCTCTCAAAGCTATAGGATTCGCCTCACACCCTTTATTTTCGATCAACATCTTCATAAAATACGCATGAATTAAAATTTTCTTTATCACCAAAGATCTTCTTTCCTCGACACTCCTTTAAGAAAATCCTTCTCCGCATTCATCTTCATTTCAATCTTTACTACAACTTAGATCACTATTATATCAGCTCGAGTATAATCAAGTAATTCGAAAACCCTAACTCGAACTGGCCCAATATAAGACTTCCTATCAAAATCCCAATCTCATCAAATTGTCTCTTCAACCGACCTTATGAACCCATAACCCTACATTGTTGTTTAGCTCACTAGTCGCTACATCTCTATTAGAGGATAGTGCATATCTTATGGGTCAAGTGGATCCTAATTTTCCACCACTCAACAAAAAAGTTGAAAATGTGTATAATCCATGCGTAAAACAGCATATTTTCTTCATTACCTTATTGAAAAAAATAACCAATGTTCATGACCAACACAGCCCTTTCTCAATTACATCTTCTCATGTCCAACTTTACATACCAATGAAAAAAAAAAAAAAAAACTCACCAACATGTCAACCTATTCCTAAAATTATTCTGACAAATTCAGATATCACAACAAAGTTACCTAAAATCATTCATACAAATTCAGATTATCACAAACAAAGTTACCTTACCCTTTGTAAGCACCCTTTTAGAGAGGCTCTTCCCTCACCAATGGTCCACCCGAACCGGATTCGGCCCGACATTCCCCACTTGTACGATTGTTACCCGAGCAATTTTTGGATATCAAACGAACCTCTTTCCCAAAAGGTAAATTTTTAGTTTTTTGCCGATTTTCTAAAACCGGTGAAAAAAAATATCTCCCGTCAGGTCAGCAAGTCCTCACGAGCTTTGACGTCCAAACACGCACGAGCCACCCGCCATCCCCGATTTTTAAATCCACCATTCTCCTTTTACCCTTTCCCTCGTTTTTTAAAAAAATATTTTTTCCCTCTTTTCCAACGCCGCCCCTCACGGCCGGCTCGGGTAGGCTCCCGTGGGCCCCACAATCTGCCGATGCCTCCAGGACTTGGCTGATCATTTCCCGGACCTCGCCCATAGTGGGCCGGGCTCTCGGCAAACGGGCCAGGCAACGGTTTGCGACGAGTGAGAGCTTGTGGGCCGAACGGAGGATCTGTTTACTACCTTCCTTGGTTAGCCTTGGATCCAGTATCATCTGGAACTTCTTGGCGTCTGACAAGTACGGTTTTACCCATTCTAGAAGCTTCTGCTCGGCCCTCGGCCGGTTACGATCCAGCGGGCGCCGGCCCGTGATAAGTTCATAGAGGAACACGCCGAAGCTCCAAACGTCGCTCTTTGACGTGAGGCGGCCCGTGTGGACGTATTCGGGTGCAGCATAGCCTAAAGTCCCAACAACCTAAACAAAAAAATAAAAATCGAAAGAAAAAGAAACAGAGTTTATCTGTCTTTCTTGTTTCTTTAAATTTTTTTTTTTTTGGCACCGTAGCATTTTTTTGTCCCAAGATTCTACATTTTGCCTTTTGGTCCTGTGATTAAATATTTTGCTGCAATTTTGAGGACTGAAATTGCAACAAATTTCCAAATTTAAAAATTTTTATGTAACAATTTAAGTCGTATAATTTAAATTTTGTTGTAATTTCAATTTTTTTTTAAAATTTTGTTGCAGTTTCAGACCTTTGAGAACTGAAATTGCAGCAATATATTAAATAATATGACCAAAAGGCAAAAACATAGAATCTTGGGACCAAAATTGCTATGGTGTTAAAACAACAAGACTAGAAATGCATTTTTTGCCGTTATTTTTTTTTTTTTCAAATTGTATTTTGCCGATGAAGAAAAAAGAAACATTAAGGGGTCTTCTGTAATTATCTAAAAATTACCATTCTCGGCAGATATTACGACGTGCGTGTGATAATGTGTCGGGGGAAAATTGTAGTTCACATGGTATATACTATAGATACAGAATTATACTACAAGATTGTATTTATAATCGGAAGAAAAAACGATATGTCGCGAAAATTACCGCAGTTGAGACATGTGTTAGTCCTTCTGCAGGTCCCAATCGAGCCAATCCAAAGTCCGATAGTTTCGCATTCCACTGCTCGTCTAGAAGAATATTGGACGATTTGAAATCTCTAAAGATAATCTAGATGAGATAATCCACATATTAGTTTTATGGAACCAATAATGTACCATTGAATTACTTTATTATCGAACTATTTGGTTAAAACGTTGACATTTTTATTTAAAAAAAAAAAAAAAGAACCTGAAAATCCATTTCCTCATGAAGGTAAGCCAATCCCCTAGCAGCATCTAAAGCAATTTTGAGCCTCATCTCCCATGAAAGGGGTGTACTAATAGTTCTAACCGACAAATGATCTTCAACGCTGCCATTGGGCATATATTCATATATTAGAAGCCTCTGTATTCCTCTTTCATCGTCCTCAGCACAGTAGCCAATCAGCTTCACGAGATTTGGATGCTCGACAATACCCAGAACATTAACTTCAGTCACCCATTCTTTGTGACCCTGTCGAGTGAATTTTCAAAAGTATCGATCCACAATTCCAAAAAAGATAAGTTCATTTTCATTGAGAGAGGCCAGTGAAAGTACTAAAAATATGAATCATATCCTTACGTAATAATATTATCATACGCAATAATGCAAATTGAGGCAAGTAAGGTCCTAAGAACAGGCATTCGACTATTCGTAGATCAGAAATGCAAATGGGCTATTTTGTAATCAAGCTAAAATAAGGTCTTTGAGTGAACAAACAAATCTACCTGCAATCCTCTTCGACCCAATTGTTTTACAGCCACGTCGATTTTCTTCGATGGGTCCTCAGAGCTCCTAATCACGCCTTTAAAGACACATCCAAATCCACCTTCTCCGAGTCTAGCCGTCCGGCTGAAGTTTTTGGTCGCTTGTTTCAGTTCGGAAAAAGTAAAATCCTTGAGATTACTGCTCCTCTCGGACATATTCGGTAACTGATTACGGCCCCTCGACTCGGAGCTCGCGTCTGATGCATTTCGAGAGTTTAATTCGGATCCAAATTGCCTTACTTCATGATCGGCAAACGAAGAAAGGCCCGAACTTGGCCTCGTGGTGGATTTTTGGTCTTCCTTTTTATCTCTGCTATAGAACTGGAAACACTTCATTGTCCACACACACACTGAAAATGCAGCAAAATACAAATAAATTCCAACAACCTCGTTAAGCTTAAACTTGGGGCCTCATCAAACAAATCATCATTAATTAATATATCTAACTCCATAACATCCACAGAAAAGTTTCAATCTTTAACCTGGATTACAAAGAACACATAATATTGAAAAATCAACTTCAAGATCTTACCTTTTTTTAAACCTGGGAAGAACTTGAACTTGTTATTGATCTTCGTTTTACCAAAAANACCAACAAAAAATAAAAAAAAACCCAATACTAAAATCTGCTCTAAAACACTTCAATTAGCCAAAAAAAGGAAAGAATTTGAACTTGTTCTTGATCCTTCGTGATAACCCACAAAAACCCAATACTAAAATCTGCTCTAAAAGTCTGCAATTATACCTAAAAAAAGAGAAGTCTTGCACACGGCAACAGCGACCCATCAAAGTTACACTGCATATTATGTATATAAAAAGAAAAACAATAACTAATAACAGCCACAGAACATTATAAATGTACAAAATTTGCAAAAATTACCATGAGAGGTTTCACAGTTTACGCTTTACAAACTGTCGAAGACATTCAGGAAGTCAAGTGTGACGGCGGCCTTTCGAACAAATAGGATTGAAAAGAGATGAAAGTAAGATCTTTGACGGGAAAAAAAAAAAAAAAAAAAGGGAAGAAAAAGGTCGAATCTTTTTTTTTTTTTTTTGGGTAGTCATATGGAGCTTTATCCCGATTAATTGGCTGGTCGACTCGAGTCGTACACCTGTCAATAGTGAATGAGTCTTCCATAAATGAACTTGAACCTAAGGCACGATATTTATTAAACTAAAATTGTATATGTAGCATTGCCCATTTATTAAGTTGTTTACCACTTGAGCCATTATGGTAAAATCCAATCTTTTTAGCCAAGAAGACGACTTGGTCATACATATCTAATGGCCAAAGGCACGATATTTATTAAATTATATTATATGTCCGAATATTTTGAGTGGCTTATTTTATAGTCCATATAGATTATGGACCATATCTAACATATTATTGTTTTTTATTAAATTATAAGTTAGAATATAATAGAATAAATTTTTGAGCAGTAATTGTGGACTGTTTGCAATCATATACTAGGAAATAATAAATCATATACTAGGAAATAATAAATATAAATAATATAGAATAAAGGAAAAGGGGAACCATAATTTTCTATAAATATAAGAAGATAATATTGTTTAGTGGTATAATAATTAGCCTTAGTCATAGCGTTAATGATAAGAGAATGTATAACTGGAATTTAATATGTCACAAGTTTTGAATTATATTGTTGTAATTTGACATGTGACATTTTTTTAAAATTAGTTAAAATTTAATTTTAAAAGTTATTAAAAGTATGACTAACAAGTAATAAAAATATATATTTTTTGGATAAAGTACGTTTGTATAATTAAGTACACACTAGTCCAATACTATACATGCCTAACAATTAGACAAATATATTTTCTACTGGATATGCATACTTTTAAATTATGATATCATAGTTTAAGAAAATATATTAATAAAAGTATCAATTTTTACCATGCAAGTACGTATTTTAGTTATAAAATATATTAAGTTGGTCTAATCAAACTTATTTAAATACAAAACTTATAAGTTAATTAAATAAGTTATAATTTAGTTAAAGTGCTTATCAAACACACTCGATTTGGTAGGACGAATTTTATTAAAAAACTTGCTTACTCATAAGCTTCATCAAGTATTATTATATTTTTAAATAAAATCATTCAACATTGTATTCAAATTGACTTAATAGCTAATAATACCAAACATTTTCGTTATATCAACTCGTTTTTCAGCCATTAGTCATAGTATTTGTTTGGTAAACCTAGTTGATAACTTGTACGTCCGTTGATAGCTTATTGGTGAATTTTTAGTTTATGACTGATGGCTGAAAAGTTAATTTAATGCGATATAAGTTTTTGGTATAATTGGCTAATGAGTCAACTGAAATAAAAATTTACGGCTAATTTAAAAGGTTACAATGAATCTTATGAGATTCTCGGCATACCAAATCAAACTTATATACATAAACGAAGCGAACAAGTTAACCAAAATAATTATAAGCTATCTTATGGTGCTTACTAAATTTCACAAGTTATCAGTTGAAAGCTCGAAATTTACTTATAAAATATCAATTAGTTTTTCATTTAGATTTACCAAATATAATATACGATTCAAATAAGAGTGTTTGTTATAATGAGAACTAGTTGTAACCTGTGCATTTGCACAGAAAGCTATATGATAAAGAATAAAATAATAAAAAATTGTAAACAATAGTAAAATCATAACATAATCATCGAAAAAAACGTTTTAAAAAATAACCTTGAAAGGTACCCTCAAATCTAATTGTATGATTTTTAGCCTAAGAATAAGAACTTTATCACCAGTTCTGGCACCGGTTCATATTTTGCATTCGAATACACAGTTGTTGAGCTTAGTAATAAATAATCGAGTATACGTTCATCTCAAAATTCGGAGAACAAAAACAAATCAATCGAATTGTACACTAATCAAAGAAAATATAAATGATATATAAGAATTTTATGGTCTGCCAATTGAAGTGCACCCTTTATCGTCGGATGCGATTACCATTTGTCGTCGTACCGATTATCTTGATATCTTCATAACTATCACTTGCAACCCCAAGTGGTCTGAAGGCAGTCGATTCTTTTCTGAGAGGAACCTCAACCCTGAGAACCGTCTAGATATAATTTTTTCATGTCGTTAATGAGCTAATAAAATAATTATTATTTTAAATAAGTAGTTTAAAAAATCTAAATAATTTTTTTTATATGTATAAACTTCCGTATATCCTTTAGTTATTATTAGTTATTATGTAATTATAAATTATATAATTTAATTAATTAATGAAAAATGTAACAATTTCTTTTTACAATTAGTTGAATAAAAGGCTTTGATTTTATTTTTGCAATAAATTCTTTGTCAGTAGTTATATATATAGGAATATAAATATAATCATAACGGGTATGATATTTATTTAAAATACATTTATTATCATTACTACTACTATTTGAGGCTATGAATTTTATTTAAACGAATGCATTTTCTAAAAAATTAAATACTACTACTATTTGAGGCTATGAATTTTATTTAAACGAATGCATTTTTTAAAAAATTAAACACGTTCTTATGCAACAATAAATTGTCATTTATAAGAATGATTGTTTTATTTTTATTTTATATTTTTGTATTATACCCACAAGGGTTTGGTAGAATAATTTGTAATCGTTCTATTTAAAAAATATATAGAATAAAAGTTAAAATTATTAAAATGAGAGGATAAAACCGTAACAATTAATTTCAACATTAGCATGTTTGCATATTAAGTAAAAACGAAGCTACTAATGTAAAAGGGAAACAAAAAGAGTGGAATATGCAAATATTTATTGATGTGATAATCCCTATTTATATATATATATATATATATATATATATGTTGTTTTAAATTTTAATTAGTTTTTATTAGATGGCATAAAAGAAAATAAAAAGATGAAAATACCATTCAAAAGAGTGAAACGTTACAATGTATAATAATAAATGTACAATAATAATTCTTAATTGTAAAAGTAACGTTCATTTGTATATGGAAGGTTGTAGTATTTATTAGGTATAATTTATTAGGTAAAATTAAATAGGTTTTATTTATGAGGTTTTATTTAATGATTAGCTAGCAATTATATATATATAGATGTTGGGAGCTTCATTAATTAGCTTTTTTAAAAAATCCGTTCAATTTTTTTTTTTCAACTAATTTAATCAAACTCTTTTATCATATCAGTTAACTTTTCAACAATAAGTTAGAATCTTGAAATATTGGAGTAATTTATTATTTATTAGTTTTTGGCTTATGATAAACAATATGCATAACCCAATTTTACAAAAAAATGTGGTACATTTGGTAAGTTTTTCTCCTAACCAATAGGGGTTGCTCAAGTGGTAAGCAACTCGATATAGCTTAAGCAATGTCTCGGATTCGAGTCCTTGTTGATGTAGAAAACCCTTGTTGAGAGACTCACCTACCACTGCCAGATGTGCGACCCGGGTCGACCAACGGATTAGTCCAGACATAGCTCCGGATACCGTGGCTGGATATCGAATAAAAAAAAAAGTTTTTCTCTGTACATTCGTTCACTCGACGACGGCAGCATGACGACTCAACTGCATCATCGATCACTCATGTCATCAGCTCTAAAATGGCAAAAACAAAATTGCATCTCTGCGCCATCAATCTCTCCCGCCCAATTCTTTCTCCTATCACCATGGGAGCTCCTCCGCAGCTCTGCAGATCGACCAAAAAGCTTGCGTATTTTCAATTTTGGCTCCTCGATAAAACTCCAGGTGGCGCCACCACCCTCCATCGATTTTTTTTTTT